GTTGTGAGGGCTTATATTTTTAAATTAAGGCCTTAGATTTCACGATGATCCGATTTCACCATAATCCGCGACATTAAATAATGCTGATACTCAAGCCTCCGGTTCAATGAAGATAAAATAACATTAGAAATATATATATATTTACAAATAGTCAAATCATAAATTAATAAACGAAAGTTTATAAGTGAATATTTTTCTTTAAAAGTTATCTCTATGAAACTTGGTAAATCGGCATTTAGCCCTAAATTTTAAATTTTAGTCAGCGCCAATGGTTTAAAAAGTTTTTTAAAATGTTTTAAAACATCTAAAAAACTGTTTAAGCTGTTTTTTTTTTTCATCCCTATTTCCAACTATAAGCGATGATTAAAAATTTGGTCGCTAATCAATAAAAATTTTAACGAAAAAATTATGGGTAGATTGAAGAAGAGTTAACCCAGCGATAATCACAACATCACATGACAAGTGTTCGGCCTAGGTTAGGGTTTGGCTAGGGTTAGGGTTAGGGTATATTTAGACCAATTTGTTTTAATTCTGGTAAACAAATGACGTCATATATGTTTATCATGTGATCGTCGATCACTGGGTTAACTGTTCTTCAAGTGTCCCAAAATTATAAGTCATGAGACTGATTCTGGGGCCGAAAAACGGACCGACCGGACTAATGAACATTATAAATGAATTTTACATCATTTATACAGTCTAAAGTATTTTTTAGAAAAATAAAACTATTCAGAATAAACAAAAAAGAAACATATAAAAAGGTTTATTAGGGTAGTAGGACTCCACCATTAAAAATAAACTCAATCAATTTTGGTTTTAGAGAAGTTAGCATAATAGCGACTTCTTAAAGATAGGTTATTACCGCACCATGCTAACTTCTCTAAAACCAAAATTGATTGAGTAATTTTTGAGTCCTACAACCTTAATAAACCTTTTTATATGTTTCTTTTTTGTTTATTCTGAAGTTTTATTTTTCTAAAAAGTATTTTAAACTGTATAAATAATGTTGAATTACGAGCTTCTGTCTATGATATAAAATCAGACTAGGACCGATCAGGACTGATCCATCCCTAATGCCGTGTAATTATATATGATAGATGTACAGCCCTAACGGTTTGGTAGTGATCATCACATCACATGAGAAATCATGCAATGACGTAATTTGTTTACTAGCACTAAAAAATTAGCCTAAACTATCCTATCACAGAACCCTAACTTAGGCCGAACACTTAATCATGTGATGTGATGATCACGTAAATATATCTGGGTTCCTTGTTCGAATAAAATTTTGCAACAATTTTTAATACTGTTTTTTTTTGGTTTTTTTTTTTTTTAAAAAAAAAAAAAAAAGGAAAATAGGAGGGAACCTAATTTAGTTTCTTTTTTAAAGAAATGGCTCTATAGCCTAAGACGTAATATTGGTATTTGCAAAATATTATCCAAAACTATCGAACCGTTATCTGTTTAAATATTATTCAATAAAATTTTATTATATGACCACATATGTATATAGCTTTGATTACATTGTCTCTCTGGGGTACCTTCAATGCCTCAGGTATCAACTGGCCTAAATTAGTGATGTGGCCAATCAGTGCAGATCAGTTAATGCCGGCTGAGATGCCTCAGTTGTCACCAGACATTCGAAGTCAAGGGCTGAAAATAAAGTTTTACTACAAAATCCCGAAAGCCACTTTCCTGAAAGAACATAATACCGACTAAATTGGCCAGCATTAAAACTAATGCCGGCTAACTTTGTTGGGATTTTGTGGTAAACTATCCTTTTTTTATTTCTATTTTTTTTCTTATAATAAAATAGTGTTAATACGACATTATGAAAACAGCTTTGAACAATATTGTAAGCTATTATTCGAGGGAGTCGTTTATTGCATTAACGCAATTGTGACTATTTCCTCATTATTCTTTTCTTATACAACTTTGACCTCGTTTTTTTTCTCACGACATAGATAAACATTTATTATATTTTCACATGAGATCACTCTGCATAAATAGCACTATTACACTATTGAAAATGGGATTTCGCAATGATGCAACAATTACCTAAAGGAATTACCTAAAGGAATCACCTTGGACATTTAAATAGACCAACGAAATTTAGGCTTATAACTTTTCAATTTTACAATTTTTAAAAACCACAAAAAATGAATCCAACAAATAATTCTCGAAGCACTCAAATTCTAACCGATAAAATTAAACTAGACAATAAATTAGATCCACATATTTCAGTTGAAGAAGAAATCGCTAATCGTTTTAGTAATCACAAAGTATATTCTGTCTCTGTTCAATATGAAAATTCTAAAAAAACAGTTATTGAAAAACCATATTGTTCAAATGGCTTTGCCGCCGCTATTCTTCATGCCTACAACTATCATAAACACTTACGTTTAAGCCCTGATGATGTTTGGCTTACAATTTCTCAAGGTGTAAGTCATCATATTAATTTTAATGCTGAGAAATTTCGTAATAGATTCGTTCAACATGAAGGAAAAAAACAAATTCTTATTCAGGCTGGTGATATTCTATCAAATAATTATGAAGGTGATTGGCCCGAAGTTGTAAATAGACTTGTTGCTGAAACTGATAAATATGTGAAAAAAATCGATTTAAAGGAATTATTAGAATGTGATTTTTCAACAACTACCTCAAGCTCCTTAACAGCAAGTCGTATTGTATTATTAGATGCTGTTAAAGCATATTATTACATATTTTATTTACTTATTTTCCTTATTACAGTTTTATAAAATAAAGTATTCCATATATTG